TTCGGTCGTAACATGAATTCTTTTGAAGTATAGCTCCATTTCTTCCAAGAATTGTATAGGGTGTTTTGTTCCATCAGCTGCGAATTTGGGGGGTGTTGCCATTTGCGTATACATGATAGGACCATTAGCGCTGCTCAAGCTACAACAACTATTGTTAGAGGTCTCAAGTACATTATGCTTACTCTTTTTAGATGATAGTTGTTCCATTATTTTCTTTTGTTCCTCATATATCTGAATTATAATTATCCCAATGTCCGTTATACGTTGTTTGGTTTCCTTAACCGACATCTGTATCTTCTGGATTTCCTCAAGAACACACTGTGTGTGTTGTTCTAATCCTGTGGAGATGTCTGTCGCAAGGTAATACGTCGGAATCTGGTCTATCGAGACAGGCTCCTCAGGTGCTGATCCGATACTGATACTGGGTCCTGTAAAATATGAATTCACTTTATTACCATTTAATAAATAGGTATATTCACCTCTCCTCACTCCCTCACAAATTTCTTGACTCTGTATCCTGGTCACGGCACCAATGTAACCAAATCCACCCGGGTCTTGTCTAAATATGGAAGTATTATCCATATTTCATGTGATCGTCTAGTATATCATATTTGAGGCGTATCGAAATTCATTTCGTTACCCCTCAAACACGTTCCCACGTTGTGTATATATTTTTTTTTTATAAGTTCGTGGATGCAGAGTTTTGTGAAGGTAGAGAAGAAATGAAAATCAAGTGAAGTTCGAGAGCATTTATTAACCACGCAGCTTTTTACAATGCAAGTGTACGAGGTGCAGTAAAGTGACTTATCAATTAGCAATCAAACCTCTTCACTGGTACAACCAAGACTCAGCCGCAAAAGTTTATGTTTGGTATTAACTGATCAATTGCTGGGACGGCATATGTTTGCACTCCACTCTAATTGCTCTGGGCTGGGCCATCTTTTAACAAAAGGATCGTCACCCGTCGGGAATAAAATAAGAGTGGTTGCAAGCCACCTCCGTGGTGTACACCTCCACAGGGACGTCCATTTCAGTATGCCTACTGTTAATTATTTTAAGAGCAACAGGGGACGCGCTCCCATAGTACCATAGAGCAATTCGACCACTCATCGTCATCTATAAGCACTTCAGATTATTTTCAACTGGTCAAGGGTGAGCAACAGCTCTAGTAGCAGTAAAGTACAATAACAAACGATATAATGTGATGAATTTACTCTATTTGGAATGGACTATCTTGCAAATACTGAGATACTACTATACTGGGACCTGGTTCTTCAACTCCTTCCTTCGGGCTGACGGAGGTAGAGGCCTGGTATACTTCCATGCTTTTCTTTTCCTATGAGTCTAAACAAGAGAAGGAATTAGTTCCATAAATAACATAATTTTGACTCAATCTCGCTGAAGTAAGACAGAAAAACACAACTAGAATTGGGTAACTCTTTATTATGAATAAAAGTCATAGAGAATCCCAGAAGGATTGACTATCAAGAAGTTGTACGCATGTATAGAGTCCGAGAATGACCTAAGTTGGTATAATAATGGATTTAGTGTTGGGTCCGACTGCGAACTAAGTCGGTCGTATTGTAAGTGTAGGGTCCGACTGCGAACTAGTCGATCGGAATGTATGAAGTGTCAGTGTAGGGTCCGACTGCGAACAAGTCGGTCGGATTGTTAGTGTAGGGTCCGACTGCGAACTAGTCGATCGGAATTTATGAAATGTTAGTGTAGGGTCCGACTGCGAACAAGTCGGTCGGATTGTAAGTGTAGGGTCCGACTGCGAACTAAGTCGGTCGGAATGTATGAAGTGTCAGTGTAGGATCCGACTGCGAACAAGTCGGTCGGATCGTAAGAGTAGGGTCCGACTGCGAACTAGTCGATCGGAATGTATGAAGTGTTAGTGTAGAGTCCGACTGCGAACAAGTCGGTCGGATTGTAAGTGTAGGGTCCGACTGCGAACTAGTCGATCGGAATGTATGAAGTGTCAGTGTAGGGTCCGACTGCGAACAAGTCGGTCGGATTGTAAGTGTGTAAGTGTGAATAAATTGAGTATTTAGTAAGAATAAATATGAAATCCTGTGACTCTGTGAAGAAAATAACAACACTTCATCATATGTCAATTATATAGCATAAATCAATAGAAGTAATGATATGTATTATTTCAGTTCAGTTGCAACTAATAAGCCCAGTTCATTGCAAAAAAATAAACCTCAATGGGCTGTTCGTGACGGCCGTCGGTGCTCTAGTCACTTCCAGCACCGAGCGGACTGCCACTAATGTCATGAATGTCATAAATGTCATACATCAAATAAATTCAGATAAACAGAAATAAACATGGACGAATATCAAATCAAATCAATATTAAAACAGTTTTGTTATGTTGTATTTACCTATTACTCCTGGAGATGTTGCTTCTTCGAAGGCTGGAAATGTTCTGCCGATATCGTGGCTCGAGCTGCTATTTATAGGGAAACGGTTTGTTGTGAGTGTCGCCAAATTCACTTCCATGGTTACTGACGCTCTTTTTTTGAAACAAACCCGGATTTGGCCCCTTTTTGGCCCCATTTCAGGGTGTTCCCTTGTAATATGAGGCTTCTAGCTGTGAACACACAATGTGACAAGGTTAGATATCTTATTTTGTTCACTTCTCAGGTTGCTCTCGTGGTTCTAACTTGGATTTTCCCAGTTTTAGGACACATTGACAGTGTCAAACACTGGCAATTTGGTAACGTCCTACCGAAAAATCCAGTATTTTTACACCTTTGAACAGATTAAATGATTCAAAACCCACAGAAGGACTACTCACCAAACTTGTAGAAACTGCACAAGGATGGGTATCAGCTGTATTTGAATCCCAGCCTGAATCACCTCATTTCAGGTCACTATCTCCTGTAGTAGTGTTTGCAGGTATATTGGTTTGCTTGCTAGTTGGTAGTAGTAGTTTGATAAACAGTGAATGAGTAGATTTATAGCAAAGAAATAAGGAATTAGCTAACAGAAATGATATCATATGGATAGAATGATGCATTATAGTATTGCTTAGAAGTAATCAAGCAGTAAACTTCTGGCAGAAAGCAAGGAATAACATATACAACATGAATGTGATATTTATTAACTAGAACTAACATATATACAAAAAAAAACAATATGAGAGAAGGTCAGTGGTTGACCACAGTACTCATAGAAGGTTATATCAAAATACACGTTTGATGTTTGGTATATCTAGTGCTCCTGCTATTTGGCAACAAGAAATAGATAATTTTTTGAAAGACATACCTGGTGTTTCAGTATTCTTAGACGATATCAAGGTAACTGCTGAAAATACTATGATAAATTTCGAAAGGTAAGATTTGATTTTATCGCGTTTTGCTAATCATAATATAAGAGTAAATTTAGAGCAATGTAGATTCATGGAAGATAAGATAGAATATTGTGGATATGTTATTGATGAATTTGGTATTCACAAATTGTTGAAGTTCAGTTATTTTTCAGTGTCGGGTCTGTATTTATTTGTACCCTCGGTACCATAGCTGGAGTGGGGCACAACGGAGTGTCTAAGGTCAGACACTCCAACGCTACTCTCACCTCCTCGCGGTGAACCCTGGGCAACGTCAAGACTTGTCTGGACGGCTAACGAGAGCTAAGCGGCCCTAGGGGTGGCTGAGGTGCCGCAGTCAACGGGGAGTAGGTAGTCCCGGTCTTGAAACCAGCCCCTCCCCTCCACTTTTCTCCAAACCACGTGACTCGGCCGACCAATCACAGGCCGGCCTGACTCGGCTAGCTACTCGCGGCCCAGCGAACGGGTCGTCATCATCGGTTGGACTGTGATAGATCCGTTCTAGAGATAACGATGCGCATTTCATTCCATTTTTCAACAACGGTTATATACAGGGTGTTTGAGTTGGGTAATAGTTTGGAAAAAAAATATAGGGTGAACCCAAAAGGCGTTATACCTCTCCGACCTACATATAAAGGCTACCCGCTATAACATGATATATACAGGGCGTTTGAGTTGGATAACAGTCAAAAAATATACTGGACGTCTCACCCACTTTTGTGGGATTAGACAGCTGACGTATTACATAAGACAAAGGATTGATGACACGACGTGATGACCTGCAAGTACCGCTACCTAATAATTTAATATACTGGATGTTTGAGTTAGCAATAGCGATAAGAAATAGGGCGTCTCACAGGTAGACTCAGCAAAACATACGTATGATAGAGTATCCGTTTGATATACAGCAATAATAGCAATACAAACTCACATAGGGCACTCATGACCTGACGTTTGACATTTGACAGATGACCAAAAAAAACGCTATCATACATCAATACTAGACAAAGCTCTTTGAGGTTATGTTCCATTTCAGACATTCGGTATAGCAAATTTATTTATTCTTCCTATGGTATGTTTTAACTCGTACAGCAATATATAATAATATAGTGCCACTGAATGATCAAGACCTCTATGTCATGTTGACATGTTAATATTGCCAGGGATAATCAACACTTAGGAATATTATACATATGGTGCCCCACTGAAAAAAGGTATTTCTTTTCGAGCCACCCTGTATAACATTGGCATTTTCAGTTCGGAGAAGATTAGAAGGAGCATAATAATCATGTTCGTCTCCCTATTGATCAGTACCAATCAAGATGTTGAAGAGTGAGCATGTGCTGCTGCTGTTGCTTTCAATCATCGCGCCAGTTCCCGCTACTGGCAATGATACGATAGAATATGCAGGTGCCTTTTGAAGCGTTTCGGCTACATAAATACAACGGATAATGCTGTCACCGATATAGAATCAGCATTAATGACATTTCAAGAGACATACAATCTCCCTGTGAGTGGATCGCTGAATAACGAAACTCTACGACTGCTGAATAGTCCGCGTTGTTCTGTAGGAGAAAATAATTTCATGATACATTCGAAATGGAACAAAACCAAGTTACGCTGGTATTTTCCTCAAGCTAAAAAGGTGCATCGTGATACAGCCAAGATGGCATTCGATAGGTGGGAGGAAATATCGAATTTGAAGTTTGAAAATGTGCAAAACCCTTACAGGAAAAAGCCTGATATTACCATAACTGTTATTCGAAAAAATCACAATTTCCGAGCAGACTGCCAAGGCACTTCCAAGTGTCCACATAATTTCGACGGCCCTGGAAAAGTTTTAGCTCATGCATATTTCCCAAATGAAAACAACAAATGTGTCGAGATTCATCTTGATGCAGAAGAAAAATGGTATCTTGGAAATAGTACTTCTCCTGATGGCCAAACTAATTTATTGATGGTCCTGATTCACGAAATTGGCCATGCTCTTGGGCTGGGCCACAGTGGCGTCAATACAGCTATTATGTATCCTTGGTATCAAGCAAGTCCAGCATCATTCGATATAGATGATAAGAGGGCGATAGAATATTTGTATGGGCAGAAAACTGAAAACTATCAACCAACAACAACCTCAACAACACAGACAACCGAATCCCAAAAACCAATATCCCAGCACACCTCTACCACAGCTTCATCAGTGTCGTCAAATGAGCCCCATAACGTAGACGTTACTAGCACAACCTCAAAGCCTCAGATAACTCCAACAAGATTATGCGACATTCAAGTGCCAGACTTTATGTTTCTAGCCACAGCACCCCAGTTTCAAAATTATCGCATGTACGTGGGATACAATAGATTTTTGTGGAAGTTCGATTTGAACGATATGCGAATTCCACCACAGCCAGAGCTGCTTGATGATTATCTTCCTGAAGATTTAAAGTCTTCTCGAGTTTCACATGTTTTCCAAAATTCTGTGGGTAATCTAGTGACATTTATAAATGATAGCATGTATTATGCAGCATCTTTTCCGAATTTCCAAATCCACCAAAACTTTCGTTTTCCTTTGCCTTCTAAAGCAAAAATTAATGCTGTCTTCCAGACAAACAGTGGACAGGCTTATTTGTTATATAACAACGATTCTTACATTACATTTGATGACAATGGAGACATGAGCAACCGTGGGCCACTTAGTCACATCTTCCCAGGAATTCCAGCAGGCATAATATCAGCTTTTCGTTATATCGATGGAAATATATATTTTTTCGATAGAAATACGTACTACAAATATAGTGAATATACTAGACGGGTAGTGAAAGCCGAACCGTTCAGTTGGAGCGTCTTTGGAATATCCTGCCCCAATGATGGATTACTTCATCAATTGAAAACAATGTTAACAAGAATTATATCACTTTACGAATAAACGATTAAATACCATTTTGTTTTATTCCAATTGTCACATGTATGCTCTCAGTCACGAGTGTTCAGTATGATGTTCAGGCATGTGTGTTGAAAAAATGCATCAATTTTCGAGATATATAATATTAGCATGGAAATGCCGACCTCAACTAAATTGTTCAAATAAATAGTCGATGTTCATTAAAATGTATGTAGACGTTTGGAGGAGTGACTCTCACGATTTTATTGCACTAAATAAAATACCTACTTTTGTTTTTCAAAAACCCACCCTTCACACTTCATCAAGCTGTCTCCTCCTCCTCCTTGTACTTTCACAGACAGTAACACACCTTAGCGGTAGGGCTCGTAGGCTTCTCGTACAGGCAGCAACACACCTCATTGCCCTTCTATATGTCTTTTATTCCCCTTCTTGTTATTTCAATGGTGTCGTGGCCCTCTTTTGTTGTACGGTGCTGGTTGGAAGTAACTGAAAGTGGTGAAACTGAAACATAATGTGAGTTGCAAGTGTTGTACAAATTCTCGCGAATCAAATAGGCCATCATTTTGAAAGAGGTGTGCGCATGCGTCACAAAAAAAAAAACGTCACTCTATATGAGTGACAGGGCTAAGTGGTAGTATGACAGGCGTCAATGGCGGTGTGAATGGCAGTGTGGCGGAGCGAATGGCAGTGTGGCGGTGTGAATGGCGGTGTGAATAGCGTAGTGGCGGTGTGAATGGCGGTGTGACGGTGGGAATGGCGGTGGGACTGTGTGAATGGCGGTGTGAATGGTAGTGTGGAGGTGTGCATGGCTGTGTGAATGGCGGTGTGAATGGTGTGACGGTATGGTTAGTGTCGGGTTTATAAAGATGTCAGTTGTTGTCCTGACTTCATACTGTTAACATCATAGTAGGAAGAAAAATATATTACGTCTTGAGATGTTTGCTTGTCAGCAATGCAGCAAGAAATTCAAGTGGGCCTATGGATTGAAGCGGCATATGGATAGTCATGACGAAAAAGTTTTCAATTGTCATTATTGTGTGGACAAATTCACAAGATTGGATAGATTGAAAAAACATTTGGCGAGAAAGCACAAAGGGAACGACCTGGTTAATCCCCAAAACGAATCGATCACCACTGATCAACGAAATGAGTCGAACTCCATTGATAGTGATCACCAATTATTGTCCCAAAGTCAGTCGAATTCTGAGATTGGTCAGCAGTTGAGTCAAAATGATGCTATCACGGATGATCCTTGTGAGAATGAAATCGAAGATAGACATAAAAAAATTGTGGACTTAGCTGAAATTGTGAGAAATAAATATTTGGCGCTTGAACAACTGGCTGACGTTAAAGTACCTATGAAGCGTTCAAATTCAACATGTCTGAAGATGATCAAGCCGAGTAAGGAATCGCGTCCTGTCAAGTATTCATCTCACATTCAGAATGGCCATAAAAGTACTCGGTATTCACCAAGAGATGACAGTAGCTTCGACATTCTGAGGAGAGGTGGAATAATAAGAGGAGGAAGCTCCAGGAAAGCAGATGAAATAAAATTAGAGCATAGATTGTGTAGAGGTCTTTTGGTATTTTAGTTGAAATAAATAGTATTTCTTTGAATCTCGTTTAATTTTTATTAATACAGAACTGAAACATGAAATGGGTACTCAGCAAAGTGTCTGAGGCCTGATAGCATCTAGCAATTGTTGACATCTAATAACAAAATTGATGTCACGATGACAATATTGGTGATCATTATCCTAATGAAAAAATTCCCCTCTGGGTCATTAAATTGACACCTATATTCTCAACATATAGAGCAAAACCATGCGCATACTTACTTGAGCAATGATTTTCAACGACGTTTGCTTGTCTTCTGTTTTACGATCAATTGTGCATAAATCTGACATGGTTGGCTACTGCTGGCTTACTGTTCTCTCATCATCATCATGCATCCGATACTTCAACAGCTGGTCCTCCGTTTCACCAATGAGATGTAATCTGAAACTGCAGTAGAGCATGAGACGCAAGGTCTCAGTATGTGTACAAATAAAGTTCATTATAATATGAAAATATTTCAAGGTTTAGATGGAAAAATCCGCCACTGGGGTTGGGACCCAGTCTTGGACAGCTCTTTTCATCCTCCACTAAAACCCCCACTGCTTCAATCTCGGATGAATGAAGAGCAAACCCATCGTTAATCCTTTTGAAAATATTTCCACAATAATGATATTATTCAGGTCATATATGTATGTATAAATGGAAAACTAGTTGGTTTTGCGAAAATGCAACAACAACAAAAAAAGTAGAGGATTGAGCCTCAAATGCCAAAATGGGATATTTTCAGGCAGATTTCAATAGCAGAGCTCAAAGGTGTTGGATGAATCAACAATTATTAGAGTTGTTATTTTTCTAGTTGTGAAAAAATGTCAGTGTTTGCCGACTTGGTGAAGAACATCGTTTCAATACTGGGCTTCGTTACATCAAACCATGATGATCAAGAGATAAGAAGAGGTCTTCGCGAATGTCAGAAGAGGATTAAGCGAATAAAAAAAAAAAATGCGATGAGATATGCGAAGAACTTGGGGAGCAACTTTCACTGTATAGATGGATGCTACTCGTTCATTTCTGGATATAGCTGTTTTCAATGAAATTGGTAAGTTGCTTAGTTTTCCTTAACTAGGAATCAGAATACATGTCAAGGATTATACTAGTAATCAGCAAATTTGGGGAAGGGCTTAGATGGGTGTTTTTTCCATCAGGTATGAGAATAACAAAAAATGGACTTTTCACTTAGGGGTTGGTCACCCTGGGTTTTCTATATTGGGAATACTGATTTTGGTCATTTTGGTAATGAATAATAATCAATGATACTATTTTCATTTATTTTTCAATTTTGACATCTTCTAAATTAGTTTGTTTCTCAAGCTGGGTTGAGGATTACCACTAGACTGGACAACGACACTAATGATTTCAATATTGGATAATCAGATTCCGCCAATCACCATGGCTCAAAGCATATATTGATCTGAACACCAACCTCCGTAAACAAGCAAAGAATGACTTTGAAAAAAACCTATTCAAACTCATGAACAATGCTGTTTTCGGAAAAACGATGGAGAACATTCGTAAGAGAGTCAACGTTAGGCTTTTAACGGAGTGGACGGGGAGATATGCTGCTGCTGTATTCACAGGCGATTGTTGATGTTGTTGCGAAGCTTGCGAAAAAGTGAGCATGTTCGTGATAGAACACATAAGATTGTGTGAGTCAAAGAACTCGAAACCTGTCTGTAGGTGTCTGGAACGCGGCCTGTGTTCTAGCGGGGTAGCGGGAGTGCGATGGCATGACATCATCAGTGACAGGGTGTTTGAGTTGATTGAAAATTGAAAATTATATATACAGGGTGTCCCACGGTTAGACCACCCCACTTTAGGGGTAAATATTGAAGGATTGGGGAGTGTGGGTACTCTGAGAGAAGGATTTTTCGCGAACATTCCAAAAATGGCAACTTGCCTATATCTTTACAAAATTCCTGTGTATGTGACTAAGTTCGGACCGTTGAAAGCCAGTTACAACTATGAACCAGTTGCTGAAACAAATACATCTGGAGAGTGGTCTGGTCGCACAACAGTAGAAATATAACTATTACATGTTTCTCCCGAGCCGTCACAAAAACGGAAATGGAACAGAGCGTTCCAGTCGGATCGACACCCAACTAGGAAGTTAGTTACGCTGAATAAGCTGAGTCCTAAGAACTCGAAACCGGTCTGTAGGTGTCTGGAGCGGGGTCTGGCTAGGTCAAAATCAATTGGCATTCAGGAAAGAAACACTTGTATCGGTATTCGTTTATACGAGTCGAAGCTCTTATCGGTAATTTCAAAGTTGACGGATATTACGAAGAAAAAAAACAAATATACGAGTTTCAGGGTTGCTATTACCACGGTTGCCCTCGTTGTTTTAATCATCAGAGAGATGCACCTCTCAAAGACAGTCCTCCTGAAACTTTAAATCTCCGTTATGACACGACCATTGCCAAAATCGATAAAATCAGATCCATGGGATATGAGGTCATCGAAAAATGGGAGTGTGATTTTCGTAAAGAACTGTGCAATAACGAGGAACTGAACACACAAAAAAAAAAAAAAGTAAAAAACAGCAACTAATAATACTAAAAGAAAAACGCCGGTGAAAAATAACGCCAAGGCGGCTGTAAAAATAAGTAGGATCATAACAACAATGGACTTTTCACCAGGGTTGGGCTGATTTAAATCAAGTGATTTTTTTTTTGTTTAAATCACAATTTAAATCAGAATATTAATTTCGAGAACATTTATTATTTATTTGAATAATAAAAATATGAAACTGAAATAAAATAGTAAAACCCCTAAAAACGGGATATTGAAACATATACATATGTATATCTCAATCATACTATACATTATT